ATTTCTTTAAGAAAAATTTGAGCTTATTTACCTATTAGAGTACAGAATGGAGATTTATCATATGCATTATTGCTGCTTTTTAAAAAAGTTTTCACTTTTCAAAGCTTTTCTACAAATTTTTTGCTTCTTATTTCTTATCATGAAATTGATGATATAGAAGTAATATAATCCAATAACTTTCTAATTTCTAAAAAGCTTTTAAGCTTCTAGCATAAAAGTACACTATAGGTATGTAATTCATTTGGTTTTATTGCCTTGCTATGACATATCTACTTGCACTTCATCATTCTTGTATGAACAAAACACCAGATGTGGATACTCAGAGAACAAAATGCACTACCAACTGCTTATGAAATTTATTATTGAGGTGAAAACTGTGTTAATCATTCAAATTATAGTGCACTTATATTGCAAATATAGGAAAAACAAAACAAAGTGAAAAGTAAGATAGAAGTATTAAAACTACAAATGAATTATAAACACCATTGGAAGCATAAGTGTTTTGATGATTATTTGCATTTTGCCCAATTCATATATCAATACAACAAAATCAAAATGTGCTACAACTTCACAAGTATTTGATGCAGTTGCACTTCAGAACATCACAAAAAGGTTACTTAAAGTAATTTCTACACAATATTGTTTGTTTTATTTACCAAACCTATGCAGACTTGAGTCTTTTGAAATTTCATATGAAACTCAATTACAGAAAATCCGTAAATATCCAGAGATTTAATATGTACTTTTTTAAAGAAACAAGTAAAAATCCTACAATTGTGGCGAAAAAAGCCATTGCCCATTGCATGAAAAGAAGCAAAATAGCAATGATAACAAATAAGCTGACTTCTCTCTCGTGAGCCGTGGAGATGAACTATGATATACTTTTTTGTATAGCCTAAAGAGTTTAATCGATCAAACAAATTTGACGCTGGTAAGAAAACGACGCACATCTGCATTCATACATGTGTAGCCGACATATAGGTCTTTCGTCGATAGTTATAAATGCATCCTCGTAGGAGCAGATAACTGATCAACCACAGTTGACTCGTTGTTATGAATTTAAGGTTTTTACCTTGATTTTCATCAAAAAATTGCTTGCCGAATCCCAAATACACATATACATTTTCCTCACTCTTTCCTCAGGAGGGAGTGGGAAATTGTGAAATTTTCGGAAAAGCGGTCAATTTCGGTAAATCTCAGCGGCAACGGACGAAATCCTCCATTTTTTTTACAACATCCGATATCTAAGGCCGCGCTTGAGATAGCCGCTCCAGTTATTATAGAACTTAATGGTTACATTGACATTATGATACTAAATTTTGGTCGGTTTGGTGGCGTATTTTCAACAGCTGTAGGTTTGTAAAATTAATATTATTGAAAGTTACATAAATTGGGAATAAATTCAAAGTTTTCATCAATTATAGTTGATTAAGGCCGTTGGTATAAATAATATGTCTCGACGAAATCAAGCATGTTTTGCACATAGTACAGCTTAAATTAAATAGAGCCAATCACACTTCATACTAGAAAAGGCAGTTTGAATCTTAATTGGAGAATCGACATTAATTGACTCTGAGGAACAAGTTAAAAACATGCGGTGAGGAAACGAAATCTTTACTTGCAACCAACATATGGGTACTTAATTATTAACCAGTGCATGCTCATTTTGGCTGAATCTCAGAATAACAGTGAATATTTATTGTATCTGATCACCAATATAAATAAATTTCAAGTCAAGAATTGCAATATTTGCTGGAACTTTTATTTTGTCGTTTGGAAGCATATAAACTTTGTCACAGCTGTCACTATATAGTAAACACAGTCATATCTTGCGATGGTCAGAATACATAACTGAACACACATTCTATTTCCAAATACTTTGAGCATATTCTGTTGGGAGTATTGTTGTATTAATTATTCTTCACAACTATATCAATATAATTTACAAATATATCAATATAATTTACAAAAAAAGTTTTACAAATTTTGCACTGCGTTTAGAACCTTATCTTCTTTGCAAGATGATAACTCATTGTAGAAATTTCGGCAAACTTTTGCTTTACATGTGAACTATTAGTAAAATAGCATTCTGGTGTAATACTATTCAATATTGATTTTGTGAAAGTATGTATCTTGCTGGGAAGTTATGCATGTGTAGTGAAATAATACGCCATGACTTTAGCCGAGTGGGCCTGCTGTGAGATGTCCATTCTATGCTATAACACATCAATTCTTAGCAAATGCCATGATTGGTTCATTTGGCTCAAGTTAGGCAAAATATGTAGCTCAGTGGAACACACACAATTTATAAATCTCTTTCAATCAGAAAGCCTTCCAGATAATGCCAAGTTTGGCAAAATTCGTCTAAGTTGGGTATAATGAATATCTACCAATCAAATGGCTGGATTGCCCACTAAGTTTGGACAAAATGGCGTCTCTGCCTAACAACCACAAAGCTATGAATAAATCAGTCTTATCTGCACTGCTAATTGCAACATACTAATCGATTAACTATGTTAATCAATTAGTATTTTGCTGTTCTAGTAACCTGATCCTATAAAATCAAAATCAGATTGGCTTATGAATTTTACCACAGGCAAATGCCTTAGTTGCCTACCCCTAGATCCGCCACTCATGCTCATGTAATTTGCAAGATTGATTCTTTACTGCGGTCATGTATCGTAAAATACCGCCCAACTCTGCAGCCAATCAGAATGCAGGGAAGCATTCACCTTGCTGATGATTTGTAAAAAATTTCTGAGAAAGAAGTGTGTAAGTACTTTGCATTTGTGAAAGTACAATCATTTTCATCATGATAATTAAGGTAAAATTGAAAATAGGAAGTTAAACCGTAACTTCTTTTCCATTTTTTATTTCCACGATTGAAGCTTTTAACTTGCGACAGCGAATCTCATTAAGGCCTACGTATGAATGAGCGACGCTTAATTGCTATCTCAATCAAGCTTTTTTGTTCGAAATTATTTTAAACAAATAAATACTATTTTATTTAGATGGTCACAAAAGAAATTTTATCTCATTCATTCTGATTACATTTTTTCCCTTTCTTTCTTTCTGCAACCCAAAGAAACAATGAATTTTAGTAAGCCCTAACCTAGCGCGAGGTCTCTACTGACCGAGTTGCTCTTTTACAGATTGAGCACGGCAGCTCTAGGACGTGTACCAAAAGACAGAGATCCAATAGTTATCCGTTAAAACCGAGCAAGAAAGGTTAATAAGAAGTTTACTATATGGCATTATTTGACCTAAAACAAAGCTTTCTTTCTTTTCTCATTCTCTGTCTGTTTTGGCTTTACTCCTCTAGTTTTGTCAATAAAAATAAAGCGTCTAAAAATCTGTCGTCCGGAAAATAGAATTCTTTTCCCCCTTGTTTCTCTTACGACTCGTATAACTACATGTTTTTTGTTTCGTTTATTTTTTGCGTTTTATGGAACTTGCTTTATGTTTTATAAAATTTGTACATCTTTACATTTTGTCGAAAAAGCTACGTGATATGAACCGCTCGTTTATTACTTCAGAAATAAAAGATGTTTGCTTTGTTTGCACAGGCTTATGCAATATGAGGTGACCTTTGGAACCGAAGGTCGAGGGTTGCACCTGCTCGAAAGTTCTCACAAACGTCTCCTAGGTTTGCATAAGCCAGTGCATACACGAAAAACTTCTTTTATTTCTTTTATAAAATAACAATAATGCGACAAGACAAGTTTAAAACAAACGTTTTAATTTTTCATCTAAAATGTATTCATGATCGATTTGCAAATTCTCTTTGACTGATTGATTGTTTTGATTGATTTGATTAGTTGAGCTCAAATCTGTTTTACACTGACTGGTGCAAACACGGCTGGAGACCAATCACCGCTCGCGTTTTATTGTTTTTATTTTTAAAGGAAAACAATATGTTTGAGCCAGTTAAAGCACCTGAAATGACGCTTGCCATACAATAACAACCGTGTAATCAGTTCTATATGTACATGCATATCCCGCTTCTATAGAGCATGTTTTGATACGTGCATCTTTTTCTTAATGAAAATTTTGGAAAGCAATTTTAATATGTGTAATTTTTGTGATTAAGTTTCAGATAAAATTGTTTGAAATAGCATAAAAAGTGACGGATGAATGCCATTAGAAAATGGGAACAGTATTGTATACAAATCAGTTGCATAACCTTTATATGCTAAGAGTTTTTTGATCTTGCATCAAATTGTATTTATACGTGATGATGAAATACATACTTGCGACTCCAGTTTTATATGAAACTCAACTGTACAACGTAGCAAGTTGACAATGTACTCAGTAAACGTTTAGGTTTTTTTATTTGCCTTTTTATTTTTATGTGTTTGAAAGTACAGGTCGAAAGGACTATTTATTAAACGATTATTGCTTAGATGTTCGAGAACATTGTACTTTTGTTAAAATTACATCATAAACCAAAATTACGTTCGTTCAACATTAGCAAGTTTTAACTCAATGATAAGGAATATTTTATTTTAGGAACACGACATAGTGTGTTTAGCTAAGTCATAAGGGTTTTTGGTTGAAATTGTTATAAATGTCTCCTGGAAACAAAAGAGTGAAGGAGTATTTTATGAATTGTCATATAATATATACTTTGTTGACTAGTATATAATTTATTCTACTTTCATTGCACTGATTAAAATTTCTTATTCTCTGCAATCAAGAGGTATAAAATGGCGTCACAATATCTTTTAAGTCATAAAAGATTTTGGGAAAATGATGAACCTGCAAAAGTTCCCGGAAACAATTCAATTCCAATACAACACAATGACTGCATAAAAACGTTTCTGAAATGTATTCAAGATGAAGGTTTGCAGAAAGCTTACAATCGTTACGGATACAAGCCTCAGGAATCCGGTCTTTCAAGCTTTGTTGTCAGTGCTGTACATGAAGATGAAACTATGGTTGACGTCATCGTTGTTGGTGCAGGAATGGCAGGTCTATCTGCAGCGTACGAGTTGAAAAAAAGCTGGTCTTTCTGTGAAAATACTTGAGCAAACAGAGCGTTATGGTGGAAGAGTCTATACGTATGGTAAAGAAAGTGGTCTTGCGTCTGGTTTGTATGCAGAAGGTGTGAGTTGATTAGCCAAGGTTGTTTGCATTCTTAAATTGAACATCGTTTTATTAAATGATTTATTGAAATTCGTTGAATGAACTCTTGAAAAGCCCACTTTTTGACGTTTATGTAAAATTGCTAAATATGCTATTTAAGTACAAGGTGTCAACACCAAACATGGTTTTGAAAATTTTGCTCAATATTATTAGGATTGCATTTGTGGCAGATGGGTTTCGTAGAAGAAAGTTCGGAGTGAACTGAGGCACGTGAAAGTTACAATAAAATAGAAAAAATTTTCAGCCAAAATAAAACAAAACGACAACGGCGTCTAAATGTCGAAGAGAAGTGTGTTGAGGACGCCATCGTGTTCTCAACTTATTTTGGTTTAACATTTTTAGGATAGGGCGCTGAGCAATAGGTTGAAGTTAAAAATGGCTTATTATAATTTCATATATAAACACAACTTCCTTTTTCTCTTAGGTAATTTAGCAAACAATACTTTTCACTTGTGATTTAACATCAAATGTACAAAATTTTTCGACAATTTCATTTTCCTGTTAAGTTATAGCTACCCATAACAAGAAGGTATTTTCCTATAGTTTTTTGTTTTCGCATGTCTGTAAATATGGGAAAAACTGAAACGTTGTTGCTCCAAAGTAGAAATTAGTATGCGCTATAAATACTCTCTAACAGGAATTGGTAACCTGCTCAGTGTTTCACGTTTATAGTTATAACAAAGTTTTTGAGATGCTTTTATTAGTCCTCATTATTTTTTATAATTGATTGAGCTCTATATTTGTTTTTAATAAGTATAAATCATAAGTATAATGCAAAAGTGTGATGAGTACGATGTCATAAAACATATGTACAACCGTTTACTTTCGCATTGACTATAAAAAAAAAGGAAAACCAAGAGGGCATTTCATCTGATGGTAGTAGGAGTAGTCAGACCTTAACACAACTTCCACTCATATGAAAGTGTATATTGTTCTTACCTCTCTCGCGAAATCCTAGGTTTCCAATTCAAATTTAACTCGAGAAATAATGCCTTAAATGTGTGTATTTTTGCCTCCAGTTCGATCGCCATTGTGTACATGCAAGCGAAGCCGCAGTCCAGCAGCGATTTTCGTCGTTACTTCACTGCGCGGTGATCGTTGTAAACATTAGACAAAATATAATAGCAAAAGTAGAAATTACGCATAAGCATATTCATAGTTGCATTTTATTTTCTAAGTTTTAAATTATTTTGCGCAATGGATACGGATTACTCAAACGATTCCTCTAGTAATTATTCTGGAAGCAGTGTTTCAAACTACGAAGAAATGATTAACGATCAAAACATGATTCAACCATATGCTTATGAGCCGACTGAAACAGACTCTAGCGACGAGCCTACTCCACATTGAACTTGTGCTTGTTTTCTGCCAGTGTTAACATTGTGGTCTATCACTGCCAACTTGGTTCTTGCAAGCATACCTTTATACGAAAAGCACTTTCAATAAAGTATTTTCCCTCCTTCCACTTGTGCTTATCGTGTTCCCAAAGGGCGAAAAATTGGGTAGCCAAGCCAATTATGGCGAATAAGTCATATTCTTTTGTGCAAGGTATGATGGAAGATGTCTGCTGTTTTAATGTAAAAAATGTACATAACAAGATTTCTTTACCAGCAAACATTCCAAGAAATATTGCATCTATAGAAAAGCCAAACAAAGAAAGTGTTATACAAGCACAATAATAAGAGAATCTCTAATAGTAAAGTAGCCCAATTTTGTTTATGGCTATAATAATTTTACATTACCATTATTATTCATAGCACAATTAAAAATTGGTCCAAGACAATAGTCCTCTATATAGACCTGGTGGTTGGAAATGTGCTCAAATGCAGCTAACAGCAAAAGATGGTAGTGGTACTCTGATTTCCTTGCCCAATACATTCCAACACCATCGAACCAGTTGCCTGTAAGCCACATGTCTTTGTCTTTTGTGTTCAGGTCCTTCTTCAGCTCTTGAACCTTAGTGTTGTTTGTACTCACTCCATGCCAGTCGTAATACCCAATAATTTAAACAAAGATTTCAAAAAACAGGATTATCTGTAATACAGTCCGGAGTATCTATTCCCTCAAATTGTGCTGAGTCTTCATTCATTGTTACAACAGCTAAACTTCGTCGGAGTAGTCCGTAGGCTCGTCGCTAGAGTCTGTTTCAGTCGGCTCATAAGCATATGTTTGAATCATGTTTTGATCGTTAATCATTTCTTCGTAGTTTGAAACTCTGCTTCCAGAATAATTACTAGAGGAATCGTTTGAGTAATCCGTATCCATTGTGCAAAATAATTTAAAAACTTAGAAAATAAAATGCAACTATGAATATGCTTATGCGTAATTTCTACTTTTGCTAGTATATTTTGTCCAATGTTGACAACTATAACCCCGCAGTGACGTAACGACGAAAAACCGCTGCTGGACTGCGGCTTCGCTTGCATGTACACAATGGCGATCGAACAAGAGGCAAAAATACACACATTTAAGGCATTATTTCTCGAGTTAAATTTGAAATGGAAACCTAGGATTTCGCGAGAGAGGTAAGAACAATATACACTTTCATATGAGTGGAAGTTGTGTTAAGGTCTGACTACTCCTTTAAATTGAGTATTCAAGCTTTAATAAAATCAATTAAGTTGAATTATGCTTACTTTTGAAATCAAGAGTTTAATTTAATTAAAGTGTCATGTAACCTTACTATTATACATACCCTTTAATAATTTGTACGAGAGATGAATTGTTTTTTCTTTGTTTTTTAGCAGGGGCTATGCGAATTCCTTGTGATGCAGATGGTCAATCTGAGGGGCAACATTATTTGACAAATGGTTACATCAAGAACTTCAATCTACCAATAAAAAGTTTTCCAAACTACGATGAAAATGCCGTTTCTTGTATCTATGGGTTTCGCGAAAAAACTAAAAGTAAATTTTTTAAAAGTAGACACTACAAAAAATTTATAATAAAGTTCTATATGTTTTGCGAAGTAAGAGGACATACGTGAAGCGGCTAGGAACGGAAAAAATTCTCTTAAGATACGCCTCATCAAATTAGCCAATTTCTAATTCGTTTTTTAGCGTTGGTATCTTCGCAAAATACACTCAAGCCATTAACAATTTTTGTAAAATATGTAACCTGTTTCCACCACTTGATGCGCCATTAACAGTTATTACGATAACCTTATCTTCGAAATACTTTTAATAGAGCTATTTTTTTAACTTCATTATCATTGAATTTGATAGATTGTACTACGACTTTTTTTTAGTTTGGTGTGAGACACATTTCATCAAAATTTGGCCAAATTGGAAAGATGGCATAAAGGAAGAGTTAAAAGGAGATATAACTGATATTTGTAAGTTTAATGAGACTTTTTCCCCCAATTTTTATAAGTCAGCCATCAAAATTAAGAGAGTATTTACATGGCAAGTTGATAACTGTTTGATTTGATTGTGTTAGACTATGATCACGATTAAAACTAAACTTGTTTGTTTTCCTTTTGAAGATAAATATTACCAAGAAACAACAAATGTCGTCACTGGCCAGCTTTGCACCTGGTTATCGAATTCCAAGAGCGTCGGTGATCAAGTCAATGCTTGGGATCGATGGATTAAAATTTGGAGTCGGTTCACGGTGGAAAGTTTTCTTGAAAGTAACATCAATGCGATTAAAGCCAAAGTGTCTGTTGAAGACCAGAAAGACTTAGATTTAGTCAAACTTGAAAAACTTTTGCCATGGTCTAACGATGCCGTTCGTGGTTTTTCTGTATTTTGCTATGTGCCCGAAATTGAACAGTCCCTGGACCACTTTCTTTCTTTTAAACTGGGAAAGTGGTCATCTGGTAAGATGCATTGCTTGAAAGGTGGTATGCATAATTTGGCTAAAGCGTTTTAAAAATGAAATATTGAGTAAAGATGACATAGAATACAAGAAGCAAGTATATGAAATAGATTACGGGTATCAAAAAATATCCACTGAAAGATGTCGTAGAGGTGTCATTCTATTCTATCAATGATGCACCATGTGTGTATAAGGCAAAGGTGAGTTTAGGAAATTAAAATTATTTTGTTATTTGCAAGTTTACTTGACACCAAATTTGAAAATCATAATGTTTTTCCCTAATATTTGTTTCTTTTTTAAGGAATGCTTTTCTCCTGAAACCTTCTATGTACTTTTCGATTATTATTTTTTGGCTTGCTAATGTGTTGCAAAAATTGCTAGCAACAACTAAATTGTACAAAGTGCATTTTTTGATGTTTATTCCACTTTAGAAGGATTTTTCTGTGTAAACACCATTTTCACAAACAAGCATAATATTATGACGTGATTTTTAAGCATGTTTATGCGTGTCTTCTAGTTACATCACTGAATCGAATTAATCAATCCTACAATGTTCTTGAACTAATGGCGAGCAATTGTAAATGTTTCAGGAAAACTTTGAATTATGAATAGAAAATACTATCCTCTTACATAAAGAGTGGTGTGCTCTTGTTCAAAAATGAATAATCGCAATTGTACATGTATTTTGTTGTTGCATAGGCAGTAATTATTACCACGCCGATAAACATTTTGCGTCAAATAAAATTCAAATCAAAGCTTGATGATATTGAATCCCAGTTGGCAATAAAAAAGCGTCCAGGCAATGGGAAATGTTTTAATCAGCATTCAACAAAAATCTTTCTTCAAACCAAAGAAAGATTCTGGGAAAAGAAGGAATCAAAGGTGGTTTTCAAAGACAAACCTTCCCATAGGCCAGATTCATTACGTCACCCCGGAAGACTGCAAAACGAAAGAGGGGCTTTTAATGATTTACACGTGGACGAAGGAGGCTCTGCTTTTTGGGTCGATGAAAGAAGAAGTGGTAAAACGGAAAGTAGTTGAACAACTCGAAGAAATTCATCCAACCTTCAAAGAAGATATGGTGACAGCCTTTATTGTTCATGCTTGGAATAATCTGCCATCTTATCAAGGAGCGTATGGAGAAGTGAAAACATCTCATTACGAAAGTACAAGGTGCGGAAATTTCGGGGTAGACTGTAATTTTTCAGAAACGTACTTGTAGACAAGCCAGACCCCAACAACTTATTTCTTTTTCAATTAAAAATGAACTACTTTAGAAATAGTAGTCTCTACTGTTTTTAGAAAAGAACTGCTGTACTTTTTAGTGTAAAATAAAAGAACAACGAGACCAGATAATATTTGTTCTGATTGCTAACTTCAGCTATATGTTGAAGCATAATAATGCGACACGATTTTGCCATAATTTTTCTGATGCTTTTTTTTGAAATGGTTCAAATTCCCGATTTTATCACATCTGAATAATTGAATAATACGTGAATAGCAGGATAATTCATTTTGTTTTCAAGTTGCTATTTTCCTGTTTCTTACAAATTCTTCAAGGGTCATTCTTTCTAACGCTTTAGGAAAACGAAAAACGTTTACTTTCAGTTTTTGTCATTTAACCCTTGAAAATGAAAATAAAATATTTTTTGTTTTATAAACCTCTGCAAAACTAATATTAAATTCAAGTATAAGCAATAGATTAAACATCTCATTAACGCTTAGCTGCATATTCTCCGTACAAAAGCAAGCTTTTGCCAAAATAGCAGGACCGCAGCTTTGATGGTTCACCGTGCAAGGTCAACGCACGATGTAGTTTTCGAACGTTGTTGCTTTGTTGAGCTCGTTTGAAACTTCGTTTGAAACTTTAGAATCAAAAATGTTTCCTTTGTGGTAAGCAAAAGCAAGCGAACACGAGTTTAATAATCATCATGTAGCTAGCTAGGAATACTACACTTTTTGATGCAACGAAGTCCTAACAGATTCTACTTGTCGATGACATAGTATCAACGAATCGATATTTGATGACTTAAGGAGAATATATGAATCTATCAAGAGAAGAAAGTTCATTATTTTACACTTTGTGCTGTATTTATATTTTACAGTTTGTTTACCCGTCGTTTTACCTCGCAGATACAAGGAAGTTTTGCAAGTCATTGTTTTGAATGTACACTTTTGGTTAAATTAATGCTCAGAGTTTCAAAGTAAACACTGCAGTCGTATTATAACTAGGACTACAATGTCACACTCTCCAGAACACAAAAATTCAATTTAGAAATTGGTTTTTTAGAAATTGGCGCAGCAAAACAAGAAAAACGAAAAGAAAATTATAATTTTATTTTCGTTTTCTTAACGTACAAAAAACAAATGGCTTTTTGTAGCGCAGTTTGACCACATTATTTGTTTGTTTTAACAATTTGCTCTTATATTTGTAAAAGTGTTTGAGAAATATGGGAAATTTCATCTTTATATATGGTAGACTTCTAAGCAAACTACTTTTTAACTAACATACATAATATTTTTTTACACAATTAGGCATTTATGGGAGCCAATGGGTAACGTTCATTTCGCTGGTGAAAGAATTTCTTTTACCCGTAAGTGGATACAAGGTGCTTTAGAAAGTGGTTTAAAAGCTGCATTTCAGGTTTATGAACGACATATGGAAAGAACCTGGAACCATACATTGTGAGGTTTTTCTGTAATTGAAATTAAAGTTTGTGTCCACTATTTATGAAAACCTTTATAGTCTAACTTTTAGTTTCATGTACTTGGCCGCTGACGTACTGATTTATAACATATTCAACACACTTTTCTTTTTCTGTGTTCGCATTTCAAGTAATTTGTCTTTTTAAAATTAAATCATATTTAAAAGTTTTTAGACAAAGAGCATGGCAAAAATAAACAGGAAAAATGAATGCTGGCATGGACATGTGAAATATTTACACAAGAAGAGTTATCGCTCTATGAAGAACGTGATTTTAATAATTCTAATTGTACTTCTTGAAAATACATTGAGTTTTCGTCAATCATGTTCTTATTAAATTATTCATTTTCGAAAGCAGAAGGGTGCTTAACTTCCAGATCTTGTATAACGGGCTTTGTTCTTCCTCCCCCTTACTCCGCCAATTGCCCTACCTTTATCCCACTTCTACACTACAGAATTTGTTATAAACTTTGCAGCTTTCATAAAAGAATAACGTGCTTATCAAAACATTTCAGGGCAGCAATTGTAGAGCAACAGAATGTGCATTGCAACATATTCTTGGATGAATTTTGAAGTCAAAACACCTTCAAGTTGAAATCAAACCAAACACAACTTTTATAAATGCAAAAATTATAATGAATGAATATTTTCCAAATTTAATAATTTCAAATTAAAATACACACAACATAAGAGGGCACGAAGTCGTAATTTTTTTCTTTGAAGGCCGCAGTCATTTTGTTGATGCGAGGGTGTGATTTTCCAACAAGTTCATTGACGACAATTTGCGCTTAGCCTTGCAGCGCTCAAAATTTTTTAAATAAACGAAACCAACATGTTTTATGTGTATTTCTTTTTCGAAGTTTATTCTTCTTTGTTTATAAATTGTACTTTGTTGCACTAATTACTTAAGGAAATTTAGACGCGGAAACACCTTACCATCACTTTCTATTTGAACAATTAAATCAATTTTTCGTGGTGAAATGTGACCGGGGCGAATTTGACAAGAAAAGCCTAAAAATCTTGTCGTGTACTTTTGATATTCATTTTATTAAGTCTAAAAAGTACAGCAATCGTTTGAATTGGGATGGAGGAGGGGGTGGGGGTGGGGAGGATCCAATGCCAGACGTAGTAGATTAATCACTTCTCTTCTGTAGAAACTTTTGTTTACCTTGAGAGTTAGTATAAAGCTATCGATAAGTATGAGATTAATTGATGCATTGTTGGCAATACATTTTTGTTGAAGTATTAACTTTGCCATGTATTTCTTAATTGAATAAACGTGGAGATCCCAGCTGGGCAGTTATTTCATAGCAAAATCAACAATCTCTCCTGGTTTTACACACGATTTGTTAAGCCATTTTTAAATGCTCTTGACTGAAGTTTTTCTAACAAGGACTAATGAGTAAGTTGCTGACTCGCCGTTTCCCTTTCCTAGAGTGGTTTCAACATAAATTCTGGTATCGCTAGGTAACAAACAATCCATACTCGACTAGAAAAAGCATGTATGGCAAATAAAAGCAAAATTTTTTTGAAGTGTCGATATTTTAATGAAACGGGTCCATTTCAAGTGGTAGTCGAGACTAAACTTGCGTGGGTACAGGAATTGTTTTTTTCGTGCCATGACGTTGTATCAGGCAAACATCCAACATGAAGAGTGTTCAATTGGTTAAATGTTACAAAATGTTTACTGAATTGAACACTTGGATGTGTTTGAGGTGTACCTGTTTAGCGAGAAAACGATTGAGAGCGCCTTCAGAAAACCACGAGAAACGTCACTTGATCATATACAAAATATATTGTCAGTTCTGCTACGGAAATTCTACGTCACATTGTAACCTATGCAATACCAAATAAGAATAGGTTGAAGCTCAAACCAAACGTAAAATTCCCCCCAAAGATTTTTTTACTAGCATTTTGTTCGTTTTATGGCGGGTAAAATCTAAGTTTACGTACAAGAGACTTAATGATTTGTTTTTCGGCTTAATGACTTTAGCTCAGATCTATTTTCCACAGCTAATAATAACCTAAGTATAGACCAATCAGCGCACTCATTTTATTGTGGTTATTCGATAATTAAAAATGACGATCAATTAACAAAAAACTAAATTTTCGTCCCGTATGTATACTTCCAATATGCATAAAGTAATAAGTATCCTTGCACTCATTAGTAATTAAAACTCTTTATTTTGTCCAATCAAGAAGTACACCATGGCGTCAGAATATCTTAAAAGTCGTAAAAGATTTTGGGAAAATGACAATTCTTTAAAACGTCCTGAAAATAATCAAGTTCCAATTCAGCTAAGTGAATTAATCAAAACGTTTCTGAAATGTATCCAAGAGGAAGGTTTGCAAACAGCTTACAATCGTTCCGGATATTATTTCACGGGAAACACAACCTCCAAGATATGTTGTCAATTCTACTGAAGATGAAAAAATCAGTGACGTCATTATTGTTGGTGCAGGAATGGCAGGTTTAAGTGCAGCGTATGAATTGAAAAAAGCTGGTCTTTCTGTGAAAATTCTAGAGCAAACGGACCGTTATGGGGGAAGAATTTTTACGTATGGTAAAGAAAGTGGTCTTGCGTCTGGTTTGTATGCAGAAGGTATGGATAAACTTATTCCGTAGTGGGTGTTTGCTTAAATTTATAATTATTTCATGTCGTCCATATTTTTATAAACAATCCCACAGTTCAATAGAACTTTAATTTGGCAAGAATGTTAATCCACCCAATTCATAACTGTTTATAATTCCGTTTTGTCATTAGATGTTTAGCTATATCATTTTTAACTATCAAAACAACTATCCCAAATGTAGTCGAAAATACAAAACATGTACACAGCAATTTGGTCTTTTATGTGAAATTTGTGACAACGAAGTTCAAAGGCTTTGTTTTGAATTTTCGGTTCGTCTATACATTTTGAATACGAAAGGACTTGTGGTAAAGGAGTTTTTTATGACCCAAATATCTTTGTGTGGCTATTGAGCTACATGGGATTTGTAGAAGTGCGTTTATTTTTGGTCACTGTTCTGCTGTGCAATGAAGTAATTTTCTATGATTCTTCTTCCAGATGTATTTGTGTCTCGTTGCAAAATAGAGTGGTATTGCTTCTTTTCTAAGATTGTATGCATTTCTGCAAAGTCAGCCGATTTTCCTTCCCCAAAAATGCCCCAAAAACCACAATATCGTCACAGAATCTCCCATATGCTAAACTACTTATAGGCACGACAAATAACTCATATGAACAAAACAAATGAAATTTTGATTGATCAGACCATAGTTTTTTCCATTGCTGAACTGCCCCCTTTTTATGCTTTCGTGACAACAACCTTTTTTTCATTTTAAGGTTAGGACTTGTGTCATCAACACGCCAAAAAATAACTGTTACTTTCATTGATATTTTTCTCTTATCATTTGTTTCAAACACAAATTAGATAGTGCAAAACATTGTCTTTTGTTTAATGTCGAGAGTGATAAGACTCTAGTGACATGGTCAGTCTTTCATCTAGTAATGATGAAGTATACAAGAGCATGTATGAGCAAGTTACGCAACTTACACATACGCCAAAATATGTTAACCATTAAAAACTTTAAAATTTAAAAACTTTGATATTCTAGTTAATGAATGTCCTCAGAACATTAAGAAAAATTTTAGCATCGAATCTTACAGTTTTGAAAAAAATGAACTGTTCTATTTTTTAGTGGGGGCTATGCGATTTCCCGATGATGCTAATGATCAATCAGACAGACCGCATTTTTTGTCGGACGGTTACATCAAGAGTTTCAATCTGTCCATAAAACCTTTTCCTAACTTTGACAAAAATGTCATTACCTGCATCTATGGGTTTCACGAGAAATCTGAAGGTGAAGTGTATAAAACAAATGATATATTGCAACAATTAAATACTTTGCAAGCATGGCGCAAAAAAGTTCTTTAAATATGAAGTTTGTAATATAGCAGATCAATTTCAAGAAATTGCGTAGGTAGTGTCGACAGGTTTTGCAAACAAAGGAGAGTTAGGTGACCAAAAAAATCATTATCGGATAATAAATTAACCACTTCACGTTCGGCCTGTTTTCACATTGCAGTTTGGGCTGAGAAGCATTTTGACAACATTTGGCCAAACTGGAAAGATGGCATGAATAATGCCTTAAAAGACGATATTTTGGATATTGGTAAATGTAACGAGACTTTAATTTCGTCAATTTTATTAAAAACCTATTTTTGCTGAAAATCGGCATATTGTTTTATTTTATTCTTGCAAGAATTTTTCTGGAAATTAGAAATCTTGGAAGACATTTTCTGTAAATTGAGAGCAATGACATTTAATCATGATTAATTGAAGTTATTATACATGCCAAGCGTCACTTCCAGCAAAATGGCGCGCTTTGTTTCGCTCAGAAACATTTTTGTCGGTCCATTATTTTACGTAATGGGCCACGTTCCAAAATGCGTAATTTTACAATCAAATGGAAACGAACTTTGTAAAGCAAACAGCAAAATCAAAAAAAAAACGAAGCAAAAAAAAAAATTGCGAATGTGAGTCGAAGCAAAACAGCTAAGACGAGAAAGAAAGCAACTTCGTTTCAGGTCAAATAATGCCATATAATAAACTTTTTAGTAACCTCGCTTACTCGGTCTTTGCTTAGAAATATCAAACCCCAGTCTTTTTGTACAAACCTCGCCCTGCGGATTCGGTCTGTGCATAAAGACCTCGGTCGGATAATTCTACGTAAAGACCTCGCACTCGGCTATTAGCTAAGGGCTTAGTAAACTTCCTCCATTTTTTTTGCAGAAAAATATTATGATGAAACAATCGGTGCTGTTACAGACCAGCTTTACACTTGGTTGTCGAAATGAGAAAGTGTTCATGATCAAGTCAATGCATGGGGACGTTGGATTAAAATCTGGAGTCAGTTTACGTTGGAAAGCTTTCTTGAAAGTAATATCGAGGTAATCAAAGCTAAAGTACCTGTTGAAGATCAAGCAGACTTGGATTTAGTTAAACTTGGAAATCTTTTGCCATGGTCTAATGATGCTGTTCGTGGTTATTCTGTATTTTGCTATACGGAGCAGCTTGATCAGTCACTGGGATCCTATCTTAATTTTGAACTGGGAAAATGGTGTTCTCGTGAAATGCATTGCTTGAAAGGAGTGATGCATTTTGCCGAGAATGTTTTCAACGATGAAGGATTGAGTACGGATGACATAGAATATCAAGATGAGTATCCTCTGAAAGATCTCGTTGAGGTGTCGTGTTATTCAAGTAACGGTACGCCAAGTGTGTATAATGCGAAGGTACGAGAGGTTAGTAAATTGAACATCGAGTATAAATAGTTTAAGGATAGTTGATACTTCTATTTTGTTGGTCTTTTTCACTTTTTTCAAAAATGTATGGCTGGTTTCTGTGCAATATTTCTTTTCAAATAGCTACAATTTTTCCTACTTTGTATATAATAGTTATAAGGCCTCAATTGTGACAAACATTTGCTTTTCGATATTCTTACTACTGGTCTGAGGCAGTCTGCCTTTGCTTTTTGTTCGCTTCCTATGGGATTACATTATCCGTCTGGTTTTACAGGATTTGTACTCTGCTTTTGCTAATTGTTTGTCGTCTTAGGAAAAATCATTAGTACGTCAGTTTACAGCTTTTAAATTAACTCTATAGCTCTTTGAACCCCGAAGCGTATCTCAACATCGTTCAGTGCTTTTGAGCAGCATTCTTTACTATTTTAGAACATGCGCACTGTGAAGTGCATATGCTGAATAATGGCTCGGGATGAAAAATTTTTAGCTGTTCACTGAACTGCATGTTATCCCAGGATTTTAAAGCTCGACAAGTTGAGCGCGTCTGCACATATTGCTTAAAATCACGCAACAAACAAAAAAATAGTTGAGTGTTGCGTTTAGCTTAATTCACGGTAAATGGATTAGCTTTTAGAATATAATTTCAACGCGAACCCGCTCTTCTCAGGGATTTAGTGGGGTCTGTAGGTCGTCTCCATTGGGACATCTTTAATTGCCTGTTTTCTGAAATCTTACTATCTCCCAAGTCTCCTGAAACTTTACCAAAAGTAGTTGTTTGCTTTGATGTTCCACTAAGAACTGAATTTTCATACCTGAAGAATATATTTGACGTAACGTGACACTATACAGACCTAAAATTTAGCACCTGGCAAGATAAAATCGTAACCATTGGTTGCCACCTAATGAGAAGTCTCCCCAAACGTATTGTGTCATTTACATTATAGCTATCTTATTAATTGTAGTTTTCAGTAATTTTTAGGACTGGTTATACTTGTCAATCACCAGGACAATTTTCAAAGGTCTGTTTAACTCAATAATTTTCAATTTCATTGATATGGATAGTCTGTAAAAAATACATATACCGTTTTATATGCACCTAAGAGTTTTATATGCACTTTCCTGATTTTTAAGAATAAAAGCTAAGCAAAACCTTTGAAAACTGTTTGATTTTTGTTTAGGCAGTAATTGTTGCCATCCCAATAAATACTTTGCGTCAAATAAGTTTCAAACCAAAGCTTCATAATGATGAATCCCAGTTGGCGATGAGAAAATGTGTTGAAGCTATGGAAGATATTTCTATTGTGCAATCAACAAAAGTTTATATTCAGACCAAACAGAGATTCTGGGAAAATGAAGGAATCAAAGGTGGTTTTTCTAAGACAAACCTTCCCATAGGTCAGATTCATTATCTCACTCCGGAAGATCCCAACACAAAAGAAGGACTTGTTTTGATCTACACATGGAAAAATGAAGGTCTGCTTTTTGGATCTATGAAAGAAGAGCAAGTGAAACAAAAGGTGATGAAACAACTCGCAGAAATCCATCCGGCATTCAAAGAAGACATGGTGACAACGTGTATTGTCCATGCTTGGTATAACCAGCCATCTTATCAAGGAGCGTATGGAAGAATGAAAGCTGCTCAACACAAAAAATAAGGTGTGCACGATATGGGGTGACGCATAATTCTTTAATTGAAGTGACAGGTTAAGAAACGAGATTATTTTTTATAAGATAATACTGTAAAAATGCTCGTCGCATTTTTTTCAATGTTTTTCACAAAAATCTCTGTAAAATTGTTGTTTTTTATATACTTAGAAATAAGGTCAAATACAACTTATAACATTTTATGGATAATTTTCGTTTATCTATGTTATCTTCTTCAATTTTTACTCAAACCTTTATTTTCCTAAAATAACAATTTACAATTTAAAGAGAAACATTGGTATATATTATATTTTTATTCAAAATTAGGTATTTATGGGAGCCTATAGGAAACGTTCATTTTGCTGGCGAAGGAATTTCTTTTACCCCGAAGTGGATACAAGGTGCTTTGGAAAGTGGTTTAAAAGCTGCATTTCAAGTTTATGAACGACTTATGGAAAGAACTTTTTACCAAAGTTTGTGAACTTTTTTCTGCCTCTGTAACCTCACCCTTTATGTCAATTTATTTTTATAACATGAAGATATATTTGACGTAGTCTTAATCCGCCACTGCTTCCGTAACCTCATTGATGTCTTTATCTCTTGTAGGCTTATGTCATCGTAAATCTAGCCACATAAGTTTTCTTGAATACATTCTTGAAAGTAAAACTCCATGGACAAAATATGTCTTCATTTATTAGGTTCCTATATTTATAAATCTTGATTGAAATCCGTTCATTGTTATCAAGTGACGACGAGACAAATGTTTACAAAACTACATAGAACGTTTATCGCTCTCTGCTGAAGTTGATCGAATTGAGCACGCATTAAGATAATTTTCTCGAAATTATCGAAAGTTTAAACTTCAAAATCATTACACTCAGAATGATGAAAGTCATGCAATTATTTAACGACGTTCCACAGTTATTTTAAATCTTCATTGTAAAAATGAGTTTGGTGAATCTCATTGTTGAACGCACGCCCTGTAAGGTGGCACTATACCAGTTATCTTCTTTTTACTTGTATCAGAACAAAAACTTTTTTTCAAACAGAGTTCAATTTGCATTAGCAGAATTTCAAACAATAAAGTTAAATCTGCATGTATCACATAAACAAAAGTTAGTAGATATAAAGATCATGCCATTCTATGTTAATTATTGCATGCTATAAAATAAGATTCAAACTATTTTTCTTATATGAGTTTCTAAACATCCTGTAATAATAAATTGCTTGTGTGACATTTTATTTGGCATTACGTATACTCATCCTTGTGAAAATGGTTTACACATTTTCATGCTTAAGTTTTTTACTCTTCGATTGCTTGAGTTAGTTAGTAAAAAGTACAAGATTTAGTGCTCGCTATTAATAAAATACCACATACTTATTGTTTTTATACCACGCAAATTGAAAGAAACGTTTTTGTTCATTTTTCTCACACCTGGAACGTATAACTAATGAATGTCACAGTGAACATTTTTAACCAAGCAGTAGATTTAAAGGTAGCTCAGTATGAAATGCAAATTTTCGTTTAAAAGTAAATCTTTTAAGCATGGTATTCACTTGGGACATAAGCATAAAGACAAGCAAAGACAAAAGAAAATAAAAAGAATGCAATGAAGCGGCCAACACAATCATCAACATATAAGCATAAGCAGAAGTGCTGGATCCTGACATAAGCGTAATTAAGGTGAAACAACTGTATATTGTAAAGCAAATTCCTTTTCTTTTCCTTCCTCTACCCTCTGGAGAATATTGCTTTGCTTTGGTTTCTTGCTTGTGCTTATATCGCAGTGAAAACTAGGCTTTAAAGTTAAAGATTTTTAACAGGAACTTAAAACCAGTACTTTGTGAAGGTTTTTGCACAAGAATAAGGCCGAGGGAAATCATTAAGTATTTAAAGTTTATTTATATCATTAGGAGATATCAATTCAACATTCAAGTCCTAACATGAATTGGGCAACTACACTTTCCATGATAGCTCTTGCATTTGTATGTAAAATAACATTAGTGGAAAGTACACTACCATTTTGGATTAGAGCCACTACACCGAATCCCACTTTACCTCCGATCAGTAATAAGCAGTTTTATGACAGTAAGTTAACGTGATGAAATTGTCTTGTGCTAAATATACTGTTGTAGTGTACCAGCTGGTTACTTTTGGATAGAATAAACTCAACTTTTTGCCATTATGATAAATAACGCCATAGAATTTAAACGATTTTCGGTATTGTGTGAAACTGCGCTCTTCAACTATTTATTTCAGAATTCAAACAAATTCCTGCAATAAATGTGACAGCAGATAAAATTGTAAAGAAATTCTTTCGTCTGCCGTCTTCTCTCCTAAATAAACGAAGAGTTTATCTTCAAGACACTGCTGTTGTAATGGATTCATCTGGTTCCATTGGAGATTGTGAGTACAAGAAGGGAAAACAGGCAATGAAAAATATGATGAATATAAAATTACCTTCCAACTACGATGGTAACTGGGCTGGTGTTCAGTACTCCAATTAGGCAAGAATTATGTTCAATTTCTTTCCTGCTTCACAAGCTGCCCCCAAATCTGATTTATTCAGCTATAAAAGAGGGCTGACAAACACTGTTGACGGCTTAACAAAAGCAAAAAATTTATTTGATGATTTTACGAAAGGTGAGACGACAAAAAAGTTTATTACTAACTGGTTTATCAACAAAACGCTGCTTACAAATATTTCTGTAATTCTTTCATGCTAGTTAAAAGCTGAAATTTAAAATTTTGAAAGTTACATAAATCTAAATAAATAAATCTGAACGTGTACGTTACTAATTTAAAATTCTAAAAAAGCACTTTTTCAGATTTTATTTCTTTAATAACAAGCGTAAAGGTAATAATAATGAAAAGGCTGCAGATTTGTGGGGACTTTGCTAACTATAGTTTCATTAAAAGAGGAATGACTTTGAACTCGTCTAAGATCTTTGAAATGTGGAGATAATTGTTGAATATCTGATTCATTGGCTTTTCCCTCAATAATATTGCGTTACAATAAGATCATTAAATCTAGCATCAGTATTTTAAAAATAGCAATACTAATATTAAGTAAACAACAACATTTTCTTCTATAATTTGCAAAGAAGATCTATCTCTCAAACTATCAAACAACGTTTTCACTTCATTTTCGCGTAATTTACAAGAAGCCGTCGTGGTGCACGTCAAATGGTGTTCCTTCTGACAGGTGGACAGTCAAACGTAGATAAAAGCCAAACAGTACCAAATGCAAAGAAACTGAGAGATGACGGTGTGGAAATCTATGTTATCGGTATTGGAGCATTTACCAGTGGAAATGAAGAGATCGTTCAGATTGTTTCATTTTCACTAGAAGATTATCTTTTCAGAGTTGAGTATTTTGGAGACGCGATTGGTGTCGTAAAACTTGTGGTCAAAGAAATTAACCCAGGTCAATATGCAGTCGTAAAGAAAACTCCTCCTCCCTGTTGAAAAGTGACTCTTCTTACTTAAGTTCTTGCATTGAGAAAAATAAAGTTTTTTTGCAGTTGATATGTATTACTTATATGATGACATGGAAATTGTTTGACTGAAATTTTTGAAAGATCAATTGTTTCATTAATCCGCAATGTTATGGAATTTTTATTCAACGTTATGTTTTAAAAGTCATAGACTTTTCTGACTAACGAAATACATACTCAGTATAGGCAATCACTCTTCATAATGATTTGAAAGTTTTCAGGGGCTTGTGTCCATTTTATTCGGTTTTTGCTCTCAATGCATAGAAGGACAGTGAAGCAAGTCAATATTTAAAAGTACCACTTTCAAAGTAGTTCTAACGTAGTGTCAAATTTTGAATTAAGAGTTCAGTCAAAATATTTACAGAGAAAAGATTACATGAATGAATCATGATTGCTGATATAGTAAACTACAAAAGAAAGCATTTGACTACTAACACATTTAGAGCTATTTTTTTCAGACGTGTGCAATAGAGATTCTAAAGGAGGAAAACGCTGGTCATAATTAGTATTAACTCGATCTGCTCGAAAACAGAGTTTGGTTATAATTGTGTATTTAAAATAGTGGCTGAATAGCACAGTGAAATTCAGTGCATGTAATGTCACATGTAGCGATGGCAATATATGTATTTATAATATGTAAGTGAATTTTATATTATTTCGTATAAGTTGTTAGCAAAACTCGCGCGTGAAGCAATTCAAGAAACATTTAGATTGGTCCCAGGCTTTCTGGTCACTCATGCGTGTAATCTTGTGACAATACGGGAAAATTTGACTTTAAAACGCCGGCTTATCTTTGGTTGTCCGAGTTACATAGGTTTTCATTCTTAGAGCTCCTTCTGGTAAAAAGAACTATTGATAACTTTTACTTTCACCATAACAAGAAAGACTTATGCTAATTAGTAAATGAAAGCCAATAGAAAAGAATATAAAGTAAATGGTTTGAGCCCGGGAGTATCGTTACATGTTTGTAAATTTCGATCGTCCAGGTTAATGTAGTCCTGAGAAGGACTGTTCTCGTTGTTGTTGACTGACGTTTCGACAGCCTTAGCGGTAGTCATCTTCAGAGTCAAATGAGGAGTAAACGTCAGGTTAGCCGTATTTGTTATCTGCTTCTTACGTCATCGTAATGTGTGTACAGGAAATTTGTATTGTCACTGTGAATTAGTGTGAAGTGAAATATTTTTATTTTTAGTTGTGATGTGTGATTTAGGTGTGATGTTTTTAGTTGTAATGTGTGGTTGTCAATTGTGTATTGTCATTGTGAATTAGTGTGAAGTGAAATGTTTTTAGTTGATCGATTGTTTGTATTCTGAGTAAGTCGTTTGTAAGGTGCCGGTAATTGCTGTGATCTGTTCTGGGGGGTTTGTTCCAAGTTGGTATTCCAACTTTCTAATGTAATCCGTTGTCTATAGTCAGTACTGTAAGTAATACATTTTGCCGAGTCCCAGTCAATGTTGTGCTTTGTGATTCGGTGATGTTCGGCAATGTGATTAGTTTTGTTTTGTTTCTTAGTAGCTCGTTTGTGTTCAGTAAGTTTTATGTTTAAGTTCCTGCCAGTTTCCCCGGTATAGGAGGCGTGGCAGTTGGAGCAGTTTATTTTGTAAACTGCACCTTGTCGTTCGTTGGGTTGTTCTTTGTCCTTTATGTTCGTTAGTACTTGTCGTAACGTTGTGATTGGTTTATGTGCTACACCTGTGTTGTATGGTCGTATGATACGCGAGATAGTCTCAGACGTACCTTTCATGTAAGGTATCGTTGCTGTTGTCACTGAGTTGTTCGTTTCGTTGGGTTCGTTAAGTTTGTAAGGGTTGCGTTTGATAAAGTTAGAGTTATAGTTGTTTTTGTCAAAAACACGTTTGAGATAGTTGTTTTCGTTTTGTAGAGCTTCCGGTGAATCACATATGATTTGTGCACGTCTTGTTAATGTTCTGATTGTGGTGGCTTTGTGTGATGTAGGGTTGTAAGATGATTCGTCTAGTAGTCGGTCAGTATGTGTTGGCTTGCGATAAACTGTTGTTAGTAGTTTTTGATTGTCATGTTTTACCAAACAGTCGAAAAAAGGAAGAGCTCCGTTTTCTTCGACATCTTTGGTAAATTGTATGTGGCTGTTCTGTTTGTTGATGTGAGTGTGAAAGTCATCAATCTCGTCTTCATGTAGTGCTGTGATTGTGTCATCTACGTAGCGGAACCAAAAAGGTAGTGCATGTTTGTAAGTCGTGAGCGCTGTTCCTCTATCGATTGCATTACAATTTCAGCAACTAAATATCAAGTTGGTATGAATTTATCTGTTTATACCATAACAATGAATAGCTTTGCTTCTGAGACAATGTATTTAATACTTGTCCATCCTTAAATCCTCGACTATAAGTCTACTAACAAAAAAGCCAATTATTTTGAAGTTCGTATTCTCTCAAATATTACTAGCAAGTTTACAATTAGCGACACGTCCTTCTAAGACGACGTATGTGAGAATGGGCTCTAGCGCGGTCAGTGCGTTGGCGTTTTAGATCAAAAAATTTGTTACGATTTGACAACCCAACATGATGCGATGAACTCGAACATTTAAAACAAAAAATGGCGGATTTATTGTCATGCATATATTGTCAAATATTATCTTTATAGGTTTACACTGCACGAAATCGTGGTATAAAATAAAAGGGTTAAGCGAAATTATAATAAAACGGAAAGTAGCGTTATTTTGACCAACGTTTTTGCAAGAAGTTTACCTCTGAAATCCTACGTTGGTTTTGCGACGAAAAAATGCCGAATTTAAGGGGTAGAACGATTGATTGACAACCCAGCAAACGGCATGGCAACGCAACCGCGCTAGAACACAGTGTCGCGTACGTCGTCTTTCATAGACGTGTCGTGGATCGTACACTCACCACTATTTTTATGTCCCAGTCAATTTCTGTCATTGTTAATGAAGCTTTCCACTGCTTGTATACTGTCTGCAAGCTAATTTAAAATTATGACATAATAGCAGTTACTGGATGGCACTATATCATCTGTGCCACCGCATCACCGCTCCACAGGTAAAGCGGCGGGCTAGTATTCCAAAGGTACGAGTTCAAATCTCGTCCAAGTCACATATTTTTCATGTGAATATAAAAACCTTGTTAGGATTTATATTATGTATGACTTTGAAGAAAATTTCGAGAAATTAGAGAAAGCATTGTTTACGAACTATCAGCTAGAATATTCCATTATAAATAACCATAAATGCTTTTTACGTCCCAACTGAAAATGTAAACAGAAAGTTTATGCGCGTAGTTTTCAAAAATGTTTTCTCCTAAAAAACCATCTGAATGCTTAGCGACCAGAACTGAAGCTATGTTCTTTGGTCACTAAATTATCCTTTCAAGCCTTTGATTGGCAGTCTGCACTTATTAACGAAAGAGAAAATTGAGATAAGTAAAAATGGCACATAAGTAAACGAAAATTGTTTTTGTTGTAAGTATGACTAAAACATTTAGGGTGGCTAATTTTCTACTTTCACTCTAGTTTCATTTTCTTTTCTCCATCTGTACAAGGATAAGGAGTTTCGCCTACAAGTTGGTATTGCCTTTTATGGATTTCTTTATCGCATAATGCTACCTAGCAACCCCGTTTTTAAGCATGGTAATTTGATGGATATCAGATTCGTATCGGTCTGAAATATTTCTGTACTTCAAATGCTAAAATTCTTAGTCGCAAAACATGTATTTCTATCCAAGCATCTTTCATTGTCTTTACGTTTAGTGTTGTTCCTGGCATCCCGCTTTGTTTACTTACCATCAGTCATAAGATCAGTATACGTGTTCCAACAAAACAGCAACAAAACAGCACAACCCATTGTAGCAAAATTACCGAACATATATTCATTATTCAAGTGTCACATCTTATAATGTAAATAAATACAATTCGTATGAAGTGCGTTGATTTATCGGTTGACTGAACAACATATCACTTATATACGTCAGAAAATTATTTGAAAAAAAAAGCTGATGAAATTCAATATTTATATCAAAAAATAGTTTTCAGCAAAAAATTCAATAAATACATATCTAAATTCGTTTGAAATCATATTTGACCATATTTATTTATTGCAACTTAAACTTAACGATGTAAGCTAAGTCATGTGACATGTAATATATGCAAGAGCGTTTAACAAGCTAACAAATGGGTGTGGGGAAGCCATAAAGTGTATGGAAAATAGATGGACAAAATCAAACTTTTAAAATGGTTAAGAATTGCAAAAATGTGCTTTTAGCTCACTCATCATTCAAATGAAAATTACGTAACTTTTCTAAATACGGGGAGCACATACCAAAATATTTTTAAATAAACAATTCGTCGCACTGTGTTTGAAATGTATCATAAGGCTTGATGTATTTTTATATGACTTTATCTTCATGTAAATCCACATCGAGAAGTTTACTTTAATATATTTAAGACTCGTATGAAAATACAGTCATTTGCTTTCTTCTTTGCGCTTTGCTCACCAAAGCACTGTGACCTGAGTGAGGATTATACATTATAAGCGCAAACGAAAGAGGTCAATAAACCCACTACTCTATTACTTACAACCATATCACAACCTAGAACGTATTACATCTCTCAAATATATTTGGTAAGTACCACTTGCGCCTCTGATTCCGAAAGGTCTGTTTGGGTTGGTCATTCGACTAAAGATTGAGCTCATAGCACATTTTTGCAATGTCGAAAATTTTATAAATCACGTACTTGCCGTCAATGTTTAAAACAAAGTTCAATGTTTAATATATATTATGTGTTTGCCGTCTATTTTGTGGCTACCCACATGTACGCGCGTACCTATGTTTTGTGTGATGATTGTTGGCTTCTTTCCAAAGAAAATTTGTATTGAATTTTTTCATTCATTACAAATTTTGAAAATGTTATAAAATCAGCGCAACTTCCATGGTATTTTGAAAAATCGCTGCTAATCAATACGGATTTCAGTCACTTTCACTTCACTAGAAGATCGGACATCAATAGGATTTGGGCTCCATCGTCAAACGAACTTAGCAAATATTACTTTGGAATAGATCTAAAAAAACTGCTTTCCACCATTGAGGTAAAGTTTCATAATATTCTATATAATCATCAATAAATTTATTCTTTATAGTTGAATTTCTGGATAAAACTGATTCTTTGATGATGGCTATTTATTATTATCATAACTCAATTAGTACGTTATAAGGAACACGCACAAAGCATCAAGGCAATGCACATTGAAAAGCAAATCTTTATGCAATTATTTGCCCTTTTCGAAAGCTGTTTCCATCGTTTCTAAGTTTGAGCATTGATGGTTAGGATTTATTGATTACACAGACCAAGGTTAGGATTTATTGACTAAAATGTTCATGTTCTTCTCAACTTATGTTACCATGTGCAGTACCACTATTAGTATTTACTGTAACAATATTGACTGTTTTTCTTTAAGTCATCTCTTAATTTTCTGTTGTTGATGTTTCGCCATAAGTTTGAGGCATTGGCAATTGGTCAGTCTATTCAACTTAGTTCTGCCAATTTTATATTGAGCTGCCATGCTTTGTGTCAGCTTTTGAGAATTTGAGGGCCATTTTGTTGCTATGCAAACTAATTACAATTATATTTTTAATTGTATGCTATTGTAGTTTTTATCACAAAGTATTAACACATGACAACAAATGTCATTTTTTGTTTCTGGGTCTTTCTTCGATTTTTATAAGGTAAATCCTTACATGTTAATATTTAAGCTCGTTGAATCAGTGAAAGCAAGTCAATCTTAGTTAATTGTAAAGATATAATAGTATGTCAACATGTTCTATCACTGTAAAGTTGATATTGTTTTTTCATAATTTTTTAGATTAGTCATGTCATTGATCTCAAGTAACAATGACAGCTTGTTCTTGGTAATCCTTGTTCAATTTAATCCTTATTACTTTCAATCAATTTTTTAAGAAGTCAGAGCATTATTAAAAAAAATGTATCATGGTTATTCTCATACACAACAACCAACATGAATTCTCATTTTATGGCCTGTGCATGTAGAATGTTGGATAATGTTTTACCATATTTTTATTTTGTTTGATAATTAAGCATGCTGATAATCCCTACCCAGAACAGAGCTGTTTGTCCTTTGCCATTTGCATCATTTGTTAACAATGAAAACTTAGTTTTGATACATCGATAAGTTTTAATGAAAACATTTTGTTGTTACAAATATGACATCAAAAATCATGCAATGTATGATTTTCATGCAATAATTTTTTGACAAATATGAAAATTCCTGTTTCCATTTCTGGGAGGAAATAGATGTATCCAACAGCTAATTTAGCTTATCAAAAAAGCTCTGGTGTTAATATTCTGGAAAAATTGTATTGTTTAATTTTGTGTGTGACAATACTAATATTATTGGCCAATCAAGTGTCTTTGACAGATTTAAGTGAAATTTTGTATCTTTGCTCATATTTTTTTGATATGCTTTTTTGTAGTGTATTTAGTATACTTATGTATTTTTCTTGATCTTTTTAATCCTTATAGAAGAATAGTGGATGAAAAATTGCCATTGTAAAGAATTTTTAATTATTTCTCTTTAAAAAGAAAATGTGAAGGTATGATATTTGACCAAACAAGGTATGTACCTTCTTAATTAGTTACAAGAGTTTTTTTTGCATTATTATGGCAATGTGAAGGATAAGCTGTATTTTTTATTTTGTATTTGGTGATGTGTAAATGGAAAAGTTCAAGTGGTCAACACAAAGGCAGAGTGCATTCACAAATACAAGGAGTGGGAATTATGCATCACTCACCTAAGAGCTCAAAATAAAAAAAAATATGCCATGACATTTTGAATATTTTTTAGGAGCATAGGTATTTCCTGCTCTTTTTTTCTTAAATTGTCAAAGTCTTATACCATGCTGCCTTGTGGATTTTATTACAATGTTAAACATATAAGAGTGGCATATTTACTGAGAAAGTTGTAGAGGCACTCTTGAGCTTAAATTCTACATTACCTGACAATATACAATTGTATATTAACTATAAATATCAATTTATTTTGACAAATTGGTTTTTGTATAAAAGATCCAAATTGCTCATCATATATCTGAATTTCTAATAAATAATTAAAAACTATAGTTGTGGTAAAGGAAGCATGTGTCACTTGAAAGGTTAATTTTTCATCTTCCATCTCTCAAATATGACCTGTTTTTCTCAATTTGTAGCCTGCTTTTTGATTCCTGCTTTCTAGAAAAACTGTAGAGGATCTTTACAGGATCTTGCATGATCTATTAGCATCAATCGAATATTGCATAAAATATGTTATAGAATTCTTAATGTAATATTCCATAGAATATTATGGTAAGAGAAGAACAAATAATCTTTTGTAAGGTCCTGTAGGATCATCGGATTCTTACTAGGATGGAATAAGCATTGGTAATATCCTGCCTAGGGTCATATAGGATTTTTTCATAGGATCGTAACAACCATTTAACAAATTTGACATCAAGGGCGTTATGATGTCATTCTTTGTTACATATGGTACTCACATTTAAGGGCGTATCAGCTTGAGCCTCAGCCTCAAATTTTCTTCCTGTGGTTACAAATTGTCTTTCGATGCTACATGGCGGTTGATTCTTATTAAAAAGATTCTGTCCACTTCTTCGCCTAGATATATCTCTTTCTTCGTTATGAATTAGGTATTAGAAGAGGACGAAATTTTCACAAGGCACAATCGATAGCTACATGTTAAGATCTTCTTTTCCCCTTTTTTCTAGTTCAGTTATTTTCAAGTACTAAGTGAGGCCAGAAAAGTTAATTCGATACAACATGACACAATAGCAATTTTCAAAACGACTTTGTACATTGTCAAAATCGTTTTAACACTATAAATAATCTAAAATGAAATCTACGAGTCAAAGTCATGTTAAATCATAAACCAATTCCAAAATATCTTAATTTTTTGGTTAGGGCTAGAATTAAGGTCAGGCAGTTCCGGTTGATTTGGTTGAAGAATTATCTTCCAGAGACTTTTCGATTTTGGGTTGGGTTGGATAGGCTTTTTTTCTACGATATTTTTCTCTATCTCTTAACAGGCATAGATAAAGTGAGTTTCACATTGTGCAAACAACTTGGAGATTTTTTTAATTTCCTATTATAGTCTCTTGTGAGAGTTGCTGTTTTGCAGGAGGCTGTTGCATTGAAAGATGTGAGAAAAAATTGTTCTAAGCAGCCTCACTTTGAAGTAATTGACACTGGGTCATATGGTTTCAGGATGTTAAAAGTTTCACATTTCTCGACTTAGTGAATCCTTAAACTTTTCTAAGCGGCAAAAGGGTGTTCCTTGTTAGATAGTGGACAATCAAGGGAAAGTTTGTATCACTTTAAAATGATAATGTGTAACTATGAAATATAGACCTGTTTTTCGTATGAATAACCCAATGAAACTCTTAAATATTTACTTTGAGATGAATATTTTAATGCTGAGCTGAAATTTTTTCAGTGCGTGATTGTTGTTTCTTGTTGTTTCTTAAGCCCATGGAATGTCCTAAAAATTCACCCACTTTTAATTCAATTCCTTTCAAGTGTAATGTAGTTACTGGCTCCTTCAAAATCTGCTTTTGCAAATTTTTGTAAAGCTGTCTGTGTTAGGTTCATAGTTATTCTAGATGTGTTTAGATTCTACATATATTTGTGTTCCCTATGTATCCTGCAGCATGATGAGCCCTGATATTGTGCTTAGCCAGTATTTTACATTCCTTTTCCATTTTGGTTGTTTGTTCCAGAACTAAATTTTGTAAGTTCGATCAACTGTAAAGTTAGGGCAAATTTTTCCCCCTTTCTGAATCCAACATTAAACTATAAGTTTACATGATTAGGCGAGATTAATTAACCAGCAACTGTTTTAATATTTCTCTGATGTGTACTCAATGTACAACAAAAGATAGCACTGTCACACTATGACATTGTAAAACTTGCACGAAGCAGGTGTAAAGTCACTCTTACACGTTGTGTATTTAACAAGACACTGAAACTGCAACTCTAAAGTTGTTCTTAAGGGGAAAGCCAAACTGCATGCTATAAAATGCAGTTGAAAACAGCAAATTTCTTGTTTAAAATGTTTAATTTCAGTTCAAGTGATTAAGTTCATTTATCAGGGACAAAACATTTTATATAGTAAAGCACTTCAGCGTGTTTCTTTGAAGAAAATGTCTTTAGGAATTTCTATGTTACAACTGTAAAAAGGCTTGAGCTTGTGCTGCTTGATAATTTCTGAAACTTTCAAAAATGTTGATTTCACCTGCAATGAAAATTGTTTTGCTTAATTCCTCCATCGATATGCCAAAGATAGGAAATGGTGCTTTGGGTTTATTCCTTTCAGGGATAACATTTCTTGCATTGTATTTGTTTCTATATGTTTAAAAAAAAAAAATTTTTAGTTATAGATTCTTAGTCCAATGTAATACACTCTCATTAATGTCGTAGACTTTGCCTTTAACTTGACAAAATGTCTTCACATGTTCACAAATGTAGAAAAATTTCTTCTCGTACCTGATACAGCAGAGTTAAGTCTTTTTATTAGATCTTTCAACAAGGTATGGAAAAATCATTCAAAAAAGAAACAATAAATTTATGTTGTTATTAGCCTTAACTTTTTTTGCTAAACTTTTAATCTGCTACGGATAAGATAAAAAAAGTGTTTTGGGATAAAATCTTGCAATAGCTGCCAGTCACAAAAACAATATTTACCTACCATCAGTTGGAAAAACTTCTTCCTCAGCATCATCAACGTTTTCAGCGTCTCTCGTCAGTTTGAACGACTTTGAAGCCTTGATTCCATTTCTAGCAACAATTGTCTGTTTTGTTGTTGGAGATAAGTTCTTCTTTCATCTGCTTTCAGCTGCAAATTCTTCAGCATATTGGCCATTGTGTTCTCTCTTCAACTACAATTTAATAAAATAGAGAAATCCGTTATACATATGCTATAGACATCGCAAAAATTTAAAAACTTCTTACAGGGTGACCCACGAAAGGGAATTAGCACAAATAATTGTTTATGCATTCAAAGAAAGTGGGCATAAAACAATTTAGTCTGCATTATGAATGCAGCAATGAAATAAAACAATACAGGCATCAATGGTGTTGTCTAGAGTTCTTGTCGGCGAATAAAAACTCCTTAAGCTGAAAGGAATTGTGGAAGGGAAAGATGCATAATTAATAGCTAGTTGCTCCGCCTGGTTGATTAAGGTACACGCTTGTTTCTCCTCGTTGGAACTTATGAAAACCATGAATTAGTTTTAAGACTGTTTTTTCTCATGTATGTTGCTATTGTTTTATAATGTTTTTGAGTAGTAAATTTGAGATTAAAATCAGTGTATGAGAATACTTTTAACTTGTTTTGCTTTAATTAATACTAAACAAACCTTATGAAATCCTGCAGAAATGTCAAGCTGTTGTGAATGCTAATTACATTATTGTGTACAATTATTTAGTAAATACATAATTTATGTGGATTCTGTTTTTTTGGTACAACCTGCGTAACTAAACAGCCAAAGTGCTAAACTTAAAATAAAATGCACCTGGCTAGTTCCATTTTCTTTGACATCAAAGCATGACTCTTCTTCTTCTCTTTTTTTCTTTCATCCATGTCATGTGTTCATTTGATGAATGATCATTCTCATCAGTTGGAAGCTATGAATTTACAATTCGTTTGAGGAGAGAACGCACAGACGTTTTGGATCGGTAATTTCCTCTAGTATTTTTTGCCTCGTAAGAACCTGGAGATAGCGCTTGCAATGGTGGATATAGTCAAGTTTCTTCAAAAGATTTTTATATAATATAGGTTTAAAGAAGTTTTGATCTATGGTATATAACTTAGCAAGGGTAAGCAAATTAAATAAAACACCATGCAAATGTAGCTACAACATGTGGATAAGCTGGCATGATTATAGAAAAGTAAACTTAGCTAATGTTGCTCGTCATCTATTTTAACTTTATGATACGTATTTCAACCTGTTTAGTATGTATTTCAGGTTTCTTAGCAATTGAGGCAAGATTGCCCAGATGAAAGTTTACTGTTTTTATGACATGGCTGCATTGATGGAGACTAATAAGTGAAAATAAAATAGTTTATGACATAAAGAAACTTACATAACTACCAAAAGCATCTACCAAGAAAGGGTGGATAGACACAGTTGATCTGCATACAACTCTTTCTTGGTCATGTGATAGAGCACATAAAAATTAGAGGGCAGCTCTTCATAGTATTAGCTAAGCGTCTCTAAAACGTATTTGCATCAAACTTGCCTATAGGAAAATGGCACGTGCGGTGATAAGAAGTTTGAATGAATTTCTACCTCAACGTCTTTTTCATGAATGTATTCTGAGAAAGAGCATATCTTGCTGGAAGAACAAATGTGCTTTTCTACTTTCTTGCATTATCATTGTCATCCCTACATTGGAAAGAAAACAAAAAAAAATAGCAAAAGATATTCTTGATAAAATAGGAAATATCAGTGAGAAATTGAAGATTATCACAACCTATATATGCTGGTTGAAACAGCTAAAGGACTCATTCATGGCTCATACATGATTACAATGCATTAATTCATACCTGAAAAAAGCATTGTAAAATGGATTGTGCTCTGTGTTACATGTCATCTTTGCCCAATAAGAATAAAAGAGAACTACCCGAAAAATCTGAGTTACATCATGTATCTTCGTTAATTTTAAATATTTTATATTATCATTTTGGATATAAAATTGCAAGTTTTGCGTAGCTAACTTTAATCCAATTCATCTATTCTGAATTATGCAAATGTTTGTTTAAGCACACGAATTCATTCTCATTGCTCGTTCATTCTATGCAGGCACATGATAAACAGATGTCTTGTTTATGTTTTCAATTTGTATTGCTGAAATACATTTCGCTTTTTTGTGTTTCTTGGCGACTTTTCTCTTTAGCTAATGTTAAAATAACATTTTTAACATTACAAACTATTTTTAACATGGCAGTAGAAACACAATGGTTGCCTTTAATCTCCCTTGCGCTGCCCCTGGATAACATTGTGCTACCTGCAAATTAATGCTCACATGCAGACAATGTAAATTTTTAGATTTGGATAATTTCTTATAGCATGTTATTCACCAATTTATTGACAGGCATGATATTATGAATTAAGTCATAATTGGATTTCACTCACAAATACTGTGTTACAATTCAGCAAAGTACACTATTGTAGTTTTCTAATGTAGCTTGTTGATCATAGTAGCTTTCAAATATGTATAAATGTATGAGTACTTTAATTTATTTTTCAAATTTTTCTATAGACGCAAGGATCGTTTTATTCTATCAAATTCTTCGTGAAAATGACATTTGTTCAAAGTTTTGTAGTTTATAATCTGTTGGCATCTTATCTATGGACAAAGGCTGATTCTACTTTCATGCTATGTGAAACTCGGCTGTTGTCAATTAGCTGGCTGCATTCCATGCATCAAAAGTAAATTGTTTAGCCTGCTAGTTGGCTCCAACAAAAACTGGATTGTGTATTCAGACTTGAAAATGTGTGGTTTTAATTGCTGATACTTAAACTATAAAGATAATCCTCTCTAGATAAGAGACAAAAGTAGATTTTATCAGTTGTTATCCACTTTAGCACGTCCATAAATACGGCAATTAACACTTAATACTTAAGCTGTCTATACTTCACTCATTAAGCACGATTTGTACATAAAGCATGTGTACACTTTCAATTGTCGTTACAAAATAACAAATAGCTGGCACTATAACAGTATTTTCTGTATATTTCCTGTCTTAAAACATCGGTTTCTACTTAAAAATAATAATCACCTTAACTACACATACGTCAATATATCGAATCTTGACCGCGACGATTGTTGTCCAATGTTATTGCGATAAACAATATGTTATGATTATGACTTGCACACGCTCGTTGAAAGCATACTTTGGTTTTTCTGTAAACAGACGCTCATGAAACGCGTCGAGGCTTATATTTAAGCAACATTATAAATGAGTATTGATTTAATATGCTGGAGACTTGCTCCCCCAGATCGTTCTATTATGATCGAACCGCAAACCATAAATTAATCGGAAAGAGTGATTGTCGCTTTAATCAAAAACATGTCGATATTGCATAGTCGGTACGGATGTAAAACATTGCAATTAATCGCTTAGTTTATGTCCAAGCGACAAAATAATTTTGAAAGGCGAAGCCAACCTCTTCTTTATCAATTATGTTTCCTCTCGAAAATATGTTGCCGCAGAATGAGCTGAGTATGCTAAAAGCAATTTTAAAGCACAAATTTTGTTTAAAAACGACTATAAAGAAATTTTTTTTAAGGTATTCTTCAACTGCCAACGTGTAAAAACAAACATTGCTCACCATGAAAACATCTTGTATTTGCGAGAGTAGCTGAAAAATTTTGGCAGTATGTTTTGCTTCAACAAATCATGCGACGAAAATGCTTTTACTTAAATAATGCCATATTATAGACGCCGTAAGAATTCATGACGACATAAGCTAAAAAGTACTAGATTTTGCAAAGTAAATGCTGCCGCTGGTTCAGAATACTTGCTCACCACCACATGATGATGTAAAACCACCGCGTTGCATAATGTTGTAACTAACGAGTACATGCAGTGTTGAAACAGCCGCGTATAGTAAAGCTGCAGCCATATAATAATGGCTGCAGCTTTATAGGTTTCGACATTATACGCCGACCACCGCGTATAATGTCGAAGCCACCGCATATATTAAAGCTGCAGCGTATATAATAATAGAACCACCGCATATAATGATCAAACCACCGCGTGTATTGACAAACCACCTCGTATACAGACGAAACCACCGCGTATAATGTCGAAGCCACCGCGTATAAAAATAAAAACACCACGTGTGATGATAAAGGTACCGCGTATAATGAAAAAAGCACTGCATATCGTAATAAAAGCACAATTAAATTTTTCTGATAACTTGAATAGCTATGGTTTCCATAAACAATGGTTATGTTTATTGCCTGCGTTATACATGAAACCTAGAATCGAAAGCAAGTCAAATTACTTACCGTTTTCAAGCTCTGCTCCTTGGCTTTGTTTTTAAATATTGTCTATGTCTGGGAAACAATGTTTATCTTGTTGTGTATTGCCCATCACACTTTGTTATGTAGAATACGTGAAGCGTTGTTTGTTGTGGGGCAATTGTGAACAACTGTAGCTACAACTGTGATCACTTCATGATCGATATCCTACAATCCATGACTAGCAAGCATTTTGAATATACTCACAGCAAGCTTCGATTCATATCTTGAAATAATGCTTGATATCATATTTTCCAACTCTTCCCGATCGTATGTTTGCCATCATGTGAAACATCAAACTGTATAAATCACCGCCTCCAAATAGTAGGAGGCCGGACAAATTAAATTTCTATCCAAACTCTGAGGAAGATTATATTATTTGTACTATGGTGCGAACCCCCTGCATTGAATCATCGTATTATGTCCGCAATTTTAAATGTTTCTACCCAAGAAAAATATGTTCTAACTCTGTGTGATTGTAGTGA